ATTTCTTGTTTTGGCAGCGCTCTTTTTTTTTTTTTTTTTAATAAAGTTTTTTTTAACCCTCGCCCATTGATTCGGCCTGATTCAATTCTGAGTTCTGGATCCATTAAAGACTCCATAAAACAGGATCTAAATTCAGAACTACCCTTAGCCTTCAGTGAGGTGGGCCAGCACAGAACTGGTCTCATCTTTGTCCACATTCAGGTCAGCAGTGAACTAGGGATGCACAATATTATCGGCATTATATCGGTATCGGCCGATATTAGCGATAAAGTTAAATATCGGACATCAGCCAATCCATCAAAATAACTCACCGATATACATAAAAGGCTTCTTTTTTAAGTTATTTAAGAAAATGTCAAGTATATATATATATATTAATACACTACTTATGCGCTTTTCACTTGTCACTTGTGAACAGGTTGAGTTTAGATTTGTGAAAATTTTCAAATTTGTACTGTTCAAGTGTTGTCATTGTGTTGAGAGATTAAATGTCATGAATAAATTTGACATTAAACATAATCGAAGTTGAAGTGTTGCATCATTTTCAGCCCCTTTTTTGGCATCTGCATTTGGTAGCAGGCCAAAATGACAAAGACGATGCAGAATAATGTAGTATTTTAATTCCACGGCAGAGAAAGTTATATAGTCGCTGTAAGTAGGTATAGGGGGGAAAATATCGGTATTAGTATCGATTATCGGCCAAATAAGTTTTAACATATCGGCATATCAGATATCGGCCAAAAATTCAATATCGTGCGTCCCTACAGTGAACACGTGGGTTTTCCCACAGTGCAGTCATACTTAGTCTTCCTGTCATTTAGAACCAGAACCTGAAGGCTCTGACACTGATGGAACCTGACTTCTGCATGTCCTCCAGTGACCTTAAGAGTTTACATCAAAGAAAACTGAACCTCATGTCTCAGCCCTAAAAAACAAATACTGGATCAAAATAACACCTCTCGCTCCACTGGTTTCCTGTTTACTTGATTTTAAATTTAGACTGATGATTTTTAAATCCCTCAAAAAAAATCTGAGCCGCCTTACAGCGTCCAAAACTTTATTCTGCAGCAGCCAGCTGGACGGTCCTGAAACTTATTTTATTAAAAATAAGAAATATTCATGTTTTTTCAGCACATTTAGATTTTTTTTAATAACTTTTAAAGATCAGTTTGGACTTCCTGTCTTAGATTTTATTATTATACGTTTATATATTTGTTTTAGAATCTTGCATTTGCAGTTTAAAAAGAATAATAACGATCTGAATGTGAGACAAACAGATAAGGACAGAAAGACAGATCCCAGGACAAACAGCACGTCCTCTCCTGCAGACTGCTGAGCGGACATCTGTCCCTTCAGGTTGTGGGAAACAAACACAGGGTGATGACATATGGCTGCTCCTTCCTCTCGCTGCTGAAGAGGAGCGGTGACTCAGCTCATCTTTAGGAGGCAGAACTGCCTTCATGTCCTGCTCTGTTTGGAGTGGCGGGGGGCGGAGCCAGAATTAACCTTAGACAGGTGCCAAGAGATGAGGCCAGTCTGACGAGGGAACTCAGACAACCTCAGTCAGGAAACTTTTAACTTTTAACCGACTTAAATCAATTTTGTACAATATTAATCTTATATTGATAGTTAATTTGGTTCTCATCTTGATGGCCAACTGCGTTTCTATCAAAACAAACGAAGTGACTAAAAATATGAGGGCGACGTCCATGGAAGAGCTGTTTGGGACAGAGAGGTTTTCATTTTTCCATACGTGTTTATGCTCAGATTTGTTGATTAAACTCTGCAGGTAAATATGCTTTGTTTACAGTGGGTCCATACCTTTTACATCCATAAACTCCAACTGGTCCAAAACTCAGCTGCTCACATTACAGAACCCCTTCCATCAGTCATATAACCCCTGACTTGCAGCATCTTCACTAACTCCCAATTAAATATCATGTTTCTTATAAAACAGCCCGGCTCCTCACCTTCAAAGTCCTCAGCAGCCTCACCCCTCAGGTCTCACAGAATGTCTCCACACCAACATACCCAGCTACGCTCTCATGTCCTTCTCCTCCACCCAAACCCCTGCTCGTCTGAGGCTCAGGAGGATCATACAGACACCCCACCACCACCACCTCTGGAATTCTCTCCCCCTGGACTTCGAAAACTCTCCCACAATCTCCATTTTCAAATCCCTCATTAAAACTCTCCTCTTTAAACAGCCATATTCACTTTAGCCTCCTCGCCACATTACCTGTATTTAAGTGATGTTTATTATTTTTAATTTGTTGTTTTAGTCTTATTTTTTTACTGCATTTTATATCGTATTTTATTGTACTTGAGTACCATGAATGGCGCCTTCAAATAAAATGTATTATTATTATAGTTATAGCTGCATTTTAGAAAATATCTGGAAAACAAAAGGAGTAAACTCTTAAAAACTGCACCATTTAATAAATTTCTACAGAAACTGTTTATGTTTTATTTCTTGTTTGCAGAGAATACTTTTAACTAGTTCATAGTAGGCAGACTTTCATGTAAAAGTATCTCATTTTAAACCCATAAAATATTTAAATAAAGGGCAAATATCAGGTCAGTTTGTACCTTTGCAGCTTTGGTCACTTTGCACCCCATTCTACCCACTGTGGTATGTTTTACTGGTTACCATTGGGTATTTGGCACCATGTTAAAGAAACTGTCAAGTTATAAGGAAATCTAAACCAGGGTGCCAGCAGGTCAGAGGTCACGATCTCTTTTAAAGTTTGTTGTCTCCCATGGCAGAGCAAGAAGGCAGAATTGGAAATACTCTCCGTCCGTCTGTCCACAAAAGTAAAAAATAAATGCGGTACCGACTTCCATGTTGGTGTGTGGCTGCATTAGGCATAAGAAAGATTATCAAAGATTGGGTTGCCACGTCAAAATCCAAGATGGCCACCGCCATTTGAGGAAATTATGCTTTCTAGATTTTTATATTGCTTAAAAGTACAGTTACCTCAAATGATGAGGATAGCTAAAGATTAATCTGTGGTGGCCAATGTTAGCTCGCCGGGATCCGTCACTCTGTGCAGCCTTGGAGAAAAAATTTGTTCTTCTCTACGGTGTAACTCCTACCCACTTGAATATCTTTCACCAAAAACATTAAGGTTTACTTCTTTCCCTCTTCAATTACAGTCCAGAAAAACACTCATCTCTAAAACTACAAATATTCTCCGTTGAAGCCCCTCAGCAACGGGAGACATCGGCGTGCCGCTTGTTTACCTGGCTCTGCAGCTCGCTCTGCTGCCTCAGTCTCAGGTTCTCTGGCGTGTCGGCCACGATGGTGAACGACGTCTTCGGGTAATGTCTGACAGGAGAGACAGAAACAACAAACACACAATTATATATTTTAAACAATACACGTTTTAAAAAAATGACAAGTTTACAACTAATCTGAGCAAAAAACTGTCAAATGTTTTCTAATTTTCTTCTGTTTTATACAGGTTTATAGTAAATTTTCTTCCACTAATTGATGAGTAGCTGTTGGTGAGCCATTCTTCACATTCAGTAAATTTCAACAATAAAAACTGAAGCAGGAAAAAAAAAAAAGTCAAAGCGTAACCTTAAAAACCTAACGAGTCGACAAGATGGTGACATCAGCAGAAACAAAGAGCCATGGAAAACCTCCTAAAGTCAAAGGAAGCACCCGGCTGGTTCCCTCACTTTGACCTTTAGCTTTATTCTTAATGTTTGTGTTTGAAGGGTTTATTTTCAAGAGCAAACAGCAGGAAGAATAAGAAACCCAACAACAAGAGGGGAGTGGATCTGAACCATCTCCAGCAGGGTTTCTGATAAACTTTATCACCATTAAACTCCGAAATATTAAATTTACACAGTTTCAAATGTGACAATACTTCAGTTTCTTCTGGTTTTATAAACGGGACAATTGCGCTTTCAGTCAGGTTTCTGTGCTTGAATTGTTCCAGGATAAAGAGGACCTTTAAACCTTTAAACCTTTGGTTCTGGTCAAAAAACACCCGACACACAGTAAAGAAGCGATGCCAGTCTGCAAGTCCTAATTCATTAGTTTGTTTCTGTGGTGCTTCTTATTGGTACAAATCTGTTTTTATCAGCTGCTTTTCACCTTTTAGTGGCGGGCGATGATGCTTTTACCTGCACCTGTGTGTTAGTTAGAAAATAACTCAACATGCATTCTTTCAAACAATGCTAGGCCTTTGATTTTAGCACTGCAGGACAGAGAGCTGAGGAAACCGGACCTGAGAAAAAGAGCTTCAACAGTCAAAGTGAGTCAGAACACAAACACTGAATGAACTCAGAAATTACAGCTTAACCCCAGAAAATCAGAAAAAAGATAAAAAGACATTGAGCTGCAGGTCTGGGATGATTGAGTTGCTTAAATGGAGTTTGGTCCAATAAAAGAATAGATGCTACCAATATTTATTTATTTTCCATTCCCTGTTTGCACAACTTCCAATTAGTCAGGAGAGCAACACAAATTTATTTCATGGTATTATATTGTGGCTTGAAAACCTGAGAGGACTGAAGAAAATTTTCCTTGCTGCTCAACAACTCCCTCATTGCCTCATTTTTCTAATTAGTATTTAATTTGAACACTTTCTGTGCTTAAAGACACAACAATTATAATTAGTGCCTCTGTCTGCTCACTGTATGATAAATGTGTTGTCAAAATCAAAATCAAGGATAAAATCGCAATAAAACAGTAGAATGATCTGTTAGATTGTTTCTGATTCAGTATGAAGCTCCTGAGGCTTCATCCTCCTCCTCCTCTTCTGAGCAGCTGAATCACCGCCCGTCCCTCTGAATCATGGACACCAGCAGGTCCAACAAACTGGTACTGTTTGCCTCCCACTCTCTCCTCCCCCGCACACTGCCTGCTCGAACAGATTTTACCTGCAGTCGAAGTAAAATCATTTTATTTTCAGGCAGAAGTTCTTCATCTCCTCCCACGAATCCAAAGCCGAGGCCCTTGGTTTAATTAAGCACAGAGACGTGTTTAAAGACAAATAAAACGCTAACTCGTCCCATAAAGTAAAAAACACAATCAAACTGAAAACCTATAAACAAACATAACTAAAGTTCCTCTGAGGGATGCTTGTCACCCGCCACCAGGAGGGGAAATAAACAAAACAAATGACTAAATGAGGAAACAGTTTCATTTAGATGTCAGGAATCTCTCAAATTAAGAAAAATAAATAAATTAAATTAAATAGTTTTAATAATATTATTTTATAAAATATTAAAGTTGACCTAACCCTTTCAAAGATAAAAAAAAACCTCAACTTAAACTATTTAAAAACAGTTCAACAAGACAGAATGCTGCAAAACAATAAAATGAAATATAAAATAATGAAGTAACTAAAATTAAATGTAAAAACAAACAAGAACTAGAATAAAAAGAAGCAAATGTACAGAAACATGGAGATTAATCAGAAAAACGAGCTAAATTTAAATAAAAGCTGAACAAAAACTGAGGTTTTAAATTTGAATGGATGGACGGATGGACGGATGGACGGATGGATGGATGGATGGATGGATGGATGGATGGATGATGGATGGATGGATGATGGATGGATGGATAAGATGAATGGATGGATGGATGGATGGATAAAATGAATGGATAGATGATAGATGGACAGATGATGGATGGATGGATGAATGGATGATGGATGGATGGATAAGATGAATGGATAAGATGGATGAATGGACGGATGGATGGATGATGAATGGATCGCAGTCGTTGCTACTTGTACTTTTTTTGCCTTTTACTAGTTTTTAGGTTTTGGCTAGCTTTTGGCTTCTTTTAGCTTCTAGTGTTCTCATTTAGCTGTTAGCTAGTGTTCTGCTTCTTTTAGCTTTACTCAGTCTCCAGTTCTTCAGTGTTGGTTCAGCTCTCAGCGTTCTGTCTGCCTTCAGCAGAAACTCTCATCTCTCTGGTTGTTTCTGGTTACCATTACCTGTGGTTTGACAATTACAGGTGAGGCAGTCTGCTCATCAGCAGGACACTGAAAACAATTTATCAGCTGTTTTTGTCTCCATGTCTCACAGTTTGTCTCCATGTCTCACAGTGTTTGTCTCCATGTC